AGACTTTAGACCAGGTTTGAGTTGGTCTATGGCGCAGTCTATTTTCAGTTCCTCAAAATAGCAACGCGCCAACAATGTGCCTGAACACACCTCTTTTTTAGACCATCACGCCCATGGGCGCACAATTGGGCGCAAATGCATTTGCTATTTAAACAACGCCGCGCAGGATGGGAAAATGAGAACTGCGTTGGGCTGAAACTAGCAAAAACACTTGCGCCGCGCCTTGCGCCGGGTGTATGATAGGGCCCAAAGACTCATTATCTGATGATCTCAGACAAAATATTCACACACACATGGTGTGACTGAAGATGGTACAATTTCCTTTTATTTCTAGTGAGTAAAACAGCCATTTGAACTTAAAATGACAATATGATGAAAATTGCTAAAAACTATTGTTACCATAGTTTCTCCAGTTTATAATGTGGATCATTCTTCAAATCAGAGAGCAGCTTCACTCCTGAGTCTCCTAGTTTATTCCCAGACAGATTCAGTTCTGTCAGGTGTGAGGGGTTTGATCTCAGAGCTGAAGCCAGAGCAGCACAACCTTCATCTGTGACACCACAGTCATAGAGCCTGTAGAAAACAATGACACACTCTTCACACTCTCAGATCAAACAAGGACTTTCTCTTGATCACATTCAAACTAACAGTGTGATGATAAGGTGAGAGAGACTATGAGAAAAAAATGAATCAATTTAGAGATGAATAGTCATTTTCCTCTGAAATCATATTATTCTTAATTTTGCCCCCTGAACACAATATTCAGATACTGAAACTCTGACATCAAATTCTACGACAGATATATAATATTGATTAAGAATAATTGATATTACACCTATAGCTCTCCTAGAAACACACTGGCAGCAGTGTGCACAGACCTCCATTGGAGGCAGGGGTGTGTTCAATAGAAACCGCGTTCCAGGGTGGTGGTGGCTCCCTCAGTAGAAATCGCATTCTGGGGCGAGGGGGAGGGTGGTTGGGCGTCCCCCTCGGTAGAAATCACGTTACAGGAGCACCGGTATCTGACTGAAAAGGCCACTTTCACTTTCGAGATTAAAGGGGCAGGGACTCACACCCCTGATTTAAATCAACATTTCGGAGGGCATTTACACCTGGTGTTTTCATGATCAGATGATTATCGGATCAGCGAAAACACATGAAGTGACCAGGTGTAAAAAGGCCATATGACTCTTTACTTATTCATCACGATGTTCCCACTCTTGGGTGGAGTGTTCTTCAACAGAATGAATGCAAATTCTTAATGTTTCTTTCAGGGAATAGTGACTTATGTTCATGCATTTAGCTGGTGGTGGTCTGGGGTTTGCTTCTCAAGATTTGTTAATGCCATTTTCTTACTATATCTGATAGTCGGATTGCTCCAACACATCGCACAAACATTGTATTTCCTTTTCAAAGAATGAACTCTTTCAGATGCTGGATGGAGAATGACATTCAGCTTGTCTTTTCAGAACTCCCCACAAGTGTTCTATTGGGTTGAGGTCTGGTGACATGCTTGGCCGTTGAATCATATTTACCCTGTTCTTCCTCTGAAATGAACCAGTGACCTTAGATGTGTTTTGCATCATTACCGTGTTAACCCTCTGAAGTCAGCAAATGCATGGTCAGTTGCATTTTTTCCTGATAACAGCGAAAAGAACTCAAATTACTCCATCATTTTTGATCGTACAGATAAGAGTAATACAACATTCAAAACTATAAAGGATCTACTTTTATTTGTGTACACTCACAATAACAACAAAATGTTGTACTTTTGTAAAATAAAGAAAACAAACAGGGTGCGCTTTCTCCTGTCTCGCCGTTTCATAAATCTCTAATAAATTACTCTTTCTCTATGATTATATTATATTGTATCTGCACACCAGCGATTGATTGTTCTGTTTCACCAGCATTCTGAGGTGCTCATGTTATTTTGTTGAGAGTTTTCCAGAGTTTTTTTCAATGTAAATCTTGTTTTATTAATAATTGCTTTTCCTTCATATTGCAATGATTTATTTCGGTAAGTACTATATTTTAGTTTACTAATTGTCTTTAATCAGCGTTTTGATTACATTCTTATTCGTTCAGGGCTAGGGGTGTCGCAATATACCCGTATTGACGATGATCATGATATTTAAAAATGAAATATTGTTATTGTATTAATTAGCGGTGTGTCGCAATATACCGGTATCTGCGGTAACCATAATATTTAAAATGGATAGTAGACATATGATATGACATGTAAATAAATAATTCAGCGGCAGTATCTGATTAACATCCCAACACACTTTATGTGACAATATTGCACCTTAACACTGTTTTTCAAGACATCTTAGATATTGAATGCAATGCCAATCAACATAGCCTTTATTCACTGTATAGAATACTACAAAATAAAATAATTTCTGCCTCACTCTGTGATAAGAAGCCACATCACTTTTTTTCATGAATTATTTTGGCACAATAATAGTGTAGTTAAAAATCTGATATCGTGACAGCCCTGGTTCAGGCGAACCACACAGCACTTCCTCCTTTTCAGCTGCAGCTACACATTTTGAGGCGATGTCCACGCGTTTACAAGGGTGGTCAGTTTGCACAAGCATTACAAGATAAGTCAGGGCTGGTTCTAGACATTTGGAGGGCCCCCACAACACCTTAGCTTTTTATTTATACAACATTTTATTAAAAAAATGTGTATATTTTTATTTATGTACATATTAATCAAACATTATTATTATTAAGCAGTAATTTATTCAAAGTTCCTGAATACCACTTCAGTAAATGAACATCAGTGTTTATATAATTTTTCCCCCTAGCTGGGTTTGGCAAGTTTTCCCCCTTCCATTTATTGTCTCATTAATAATATGATATTATATATTGCCCTGCTACTTTAAATATGCACTATATACAGAAATCAAGTGGAAGTGAAAGAGACAATCACTACTAAGCAGAAAATAAGTTTATTTCTAGTTAACTGAAACTGAAATTAAGTGTTCTGTTAAAGCAGTAATGTAATCATCAGCAGAAATGATGCAGATCGACAGAACAAGTTTATATTTTGAATACACTGTAATCACTCCAAAATAATGACGACAACTCGCACACCTGTATTAGGAGCAGTACTTCTATGCGTGCCTATCTAGCCTTTTGCTTCTCAGCACCTGAAGGATGTGTTCATTACGGCAAACATTCAGAAGGCAGGACCTGCTTTGAAACCGCAACATTAATTGGTTTAATTGCAGGTGAGTGACAATTCAACTATATCGAATGAACAATGAGGCTAGTATTTTGCTGCCTGACTTGACTGGTGGACTAGCGCAGTGGTTCTCAACCCCCATCTAGACCCCCATCATATCTCAAACCATCCTCATGGACCCTCTACCCAATATTGATATTGATTGTTTTTGTGTTGTCCATTTTTCTTAGCTTTTCTGGTGTGTGAGGTTCACTGGTAGATGTTCCCATCAAGTTTTTTTAAGCCACCTGTCTATAAGCAGGTCTCGATAACTATTTTAATTTTTATTTGGCGATATATTGCCCCAGAAATACTTGCAAGGAACAATATTATTGTTATTTTAAGACCATTTTATGCAACTGGCTATACAGTGATATTTCAGCAGTGTCAGCGCTGGGCTCTCAGTCATTGTTACGCCAGCATGTGGCGCAATGGATTGCCTTTACGACATTACGAGTGAGTCATCATTAAAAACCACTCATTCAACGGATAACACACATGCTCAGTTCCACTGTCAGCTCTGTCTCTCTGTCTGTGTGTGTGAGGACTTGCCTGAGCCCCGCCTCTGCCTCACACACAGAGAGCAGAGGAGATGACAGCGGCAGCGCGATTGGCTAAAATATTGGTGAAATTCATTTTTTTACATAAACAAACACCCATATAAACACAATGGGCAATATACCAAAACCTATCACGGTCATGTCCATATCCCATGTGATAAGTCGATATAGTAATTATCGCGACAGGCCTACCTGTCCATAGTGGCTGCACTGTTCTCCAAAGAGAACTTTAACCTAAAATTTTCTGGTTTTGATTATTATATTAGTGTCAATATACAATAAAATATCATGTCAGTTTATGATAAAAGAAAAAATGTTTTAAACATTTTTGTAATGATTCTACGGACCCCCTGCAATTACATGATGGACCACTAGGGGTACGGTACCCCCGGTTGAGAAACACTGGACTGGCGTATAAGGGATGTTACGGTTATGGAGGCCCCGCCTCAAAGCCCGAGGCCCTAGGCAATTGTCTGTTCTGTTTATAGGTAGCGGCGGCCCTGAGATAAGTTGATTTACACCAAGAATTTGTGATTTAAACAAAAAAAACAACAACTTTCCTGTAACCTGTATCTGTTGTATGGTTTGTAGTTTGTTTGGTTTATTTAACTGTTAGTTTTACTTTTTTGTGGTATAATAATATATTAAGATCTTTTTCGGGTAGACTCCTCACCCCTGCCTTCAACTGCTGACAGGATCTGACGGTTCAAGCAGGAATCTGTCTCTGAACGCCAAAAGATATATTGTATGCATTATCTACATGTTAGTCTTTAATCACTCCGAGTCTTTATGGTAGAGATGATCTTACCTCAATTCCTCCAGTTTACAGTGAGGATTCTCCAGTCCAGTAGAGAGCAGCATCACTCCTGAGTCCTCAAGATTATTATATGACAGATCCAGTTTTCTCAGGTGTGAGGGGTTTGATCTCAGAGCTGAAGCCAGTGCAGCACAACCTTCATCTGTGACACCACAATCCAACAACCTGTAGAGAACAATGACACTCGTCACTCTCTCAGATCAACAGAGACTTCATTATCAAAGAGAAACCAGTAACATAAACTCAAATCACCATGTTAGATGGATCTTGGTCTGTGTCACAGAGCACAAAACATAATCATAACACACCTGCAGTTAAATTCAAGCAGGAAAAATATATTTTTCTTAATTGTATGCTCAAAATTTGTGCAATATCTCTTTTTTAACCAATTCAATATCAGTGAGTTTTAGTTATTCTAAGATATGTGAGAGAGAAAGATTATAAAACAATTATAAATATAAATAACAAATTAAAAAGATTAAAAGACAATTATAAATATAAATAACAAATTAAAACTGTATATCACATAAAAATGTAGACAAATTGTATCAGAATGGGTTATCTTACAGCTCAAGCCTAGCTCACCGTCATTCTAAAAAAAAGTTCAACTTAAATGGTCGTGGACAGCTGTGAGAAGGGAGGGGAGAAAAAGGGGGATGAACGTACTCGGTTACAAACGTAACCTCGGTTCCCTGAGATACGGGAACGAGTACTGCGTCTTGCTAGACGCTATGGGAAAAAGTAATTTTTTTCTCCTGAACTGAAGCCTTTTTCAATCACACAGTGAAACTGCACGGCCATTGGTTCGTGCAGTATTTTTTAAAAACGAACCAATGGCTCGGCAGCGGTGCTGCACGAACCTATGGCCGCGAAGCCTGCCAAAGCCCGCCAGGATGGGCGGAATCATCTGGCTATATAAGCGGCCCCTTCGCCATAGGATTCAGGTTACTTCGACTGAAGCGAAGAATGAGTCAGCTAGCAACGCAGTACTCGTTCCCGTATCTCAGGGAACCGAGGTTACGTTTGTAACCGAGTACATTCCCTATCGATACTACACTCGTACTGCGTCTTGCTAGATGCTATGGGAACAGTACAATCACACCGTAATCCTTGTCCTAGGCACCTCAGGGCCCAAGAGAACAAGAACAATAAATCCCTCCAGGCTAACGGGCTAAGCCTCACGTAGGCCTCACCCAGCCGAGTGATCATTCCAGAAGACTTGCGCAGCCTCAGCACCTATGGGGGCCGAGAGCGCACAAGTAAGCTCTCTGATAGGTCTGGGCATATTGCATCCAAACTGCACTCAGAGCGAACTGCGCGCCAGTAAAGCAGAAAGAACCCTTGCCTGCAAGGCAGGAACATCCAGGTTATAGAACCTAGCAAAAGTGGACAGCGAGGCCCAGCCGGCCACCGCACAAATTTCTGCAATGGTCACGCCGCCAGACCACGCCCACGAAGAGGCGATGCCTCTAGTTGAGTGGCCTCGTACTCCAACGGGGCATTATAGACCCAAGGAAGAGTAGGCTAGCAGAATAGCACCAATTATACACTTAGAAAGTCTTTGCTTCGTGACAGGGTGTCCTTTAGCGCGGCCACCGAAGCAAACAAAGAGCTGTTCCGACTGCCTAAACTGGGCGGAATGCTCAATGTAAACCTTCAGAGCCCTAACGGGGCAGAGTAAATTCAACTCCTGGTCCATCTTCTGAGGGAGGAAGCGCAGAGGTTGATAACCTGTGCTCTGAATGGAGTCGAGAGCACCTTAGGTGTATAGCCATGCCTTGGTTTCAGGATGACCTTGGAGTCGCCAGGCCCGAACTCCAGGCAATTAAGGCTTACAGAGAGTGCCTGCAAGTCCCCCACTCTCTTGACTGATGCTAACGCTAGTAGCAGAGCGGTTTTAAATGACAGGGACCGGAGGTCGACGGACTGCAGCGGCTCGAAGGGAGGACCCTTCAGGGCCCTCAGAACAGTGGGCAGGTCCCACGTAGGGACAGTGAGAGGACGGGGCGGATTTAGCCTCCTGGCTCCCCTCAGAAAATGAACAATGAGGTTGTTCCTGCCTACCGATTGGCCCGCTATACAGGCATGAGAAGCCGCTATCACTGCCACATAGACCTTGAGCGTGGATGGGGAGCGTCCCTTATCCAACAGCTCCTGCAGGAAGGACAGTATCATCGATACGTCACAAGTGAGCGGGGTCCCCGCCGCGGTTTGAGCACCAGGCGGAGAACATTGACCATTTAAGGGCATAGAGGCGTCTTGTAGACGGAGCTCTAGCCTGAGAAATGGTGTTCAATACACACTCTGGGTGACTAACAGGCTCCCGTCGAGTGGCCACAGGTGTAAGGCCCACAGCTCTGGCCTGGGGTGCCATATCGTCCTGTTCACCTGGGAGAGGAGATCTCGCCTCAGGGGAATAGGCCATGAGGCTGCTATTAGCAGCTAAAACAGCTCTGCTAACCAATGCTGGTTTCTCCAGAGCGGGGCCACCAGGAGCACTTTGCGTTTCTGTTCCCTGATCTGCCTGATTACCGGCGGAATCAGGGCGACCGGGGGAAAAGCGTAGAGAAGGAGGTTGGGCCAGTCGTGGGCCAACGTATCCTTGTCCCTGGAATAATAGATTGGGCAGTGAGAATTGTCTTCTGAGGCGAAGAGGTCTACTTCCGACCTGCCGAAGATTTCCCAAATTTTATGAACCGTCTGCGGATGAAGCATCCACTCCTCTGAGGGGACCTTGCTTCGCGACAACATGTCTGCTCCCTGGTTCAGTTTGCCCGGAACGTGTGCTGCTCTCAGCGAACATAGATTGAGCTGGGCCCATTCCAAGTGGAGCTCTACTAGTACAAGGAGCCGCTTCGAGGACAGTCCCCCCTGGCGATTTATGTAGGACACCACCGTCATGCTGTCCGAACGGACCAAGACATGATGACCCTTGAGGTCTGGTATGAAGGTTCGGAGTTCACAACAAACGCATTGTCATTGGCACCCGGAACTGGACGGGGTGCTTGGAGGCATTACAGAGTGCTGTGGGCGTGGCCCAGACGTGTCTAGAATCTGAAGCTGTCAGTAGTAATCATTAGTGACAGCATTCCCTTTCAATCCACCTAAAAAGATCAAAACTGCTCATTAGAAGAGGGGTACTGATGATCTTTGTGTAAACACATAGGCAGATCAAAAGTACTGCGCGCATTCTCTCAAATCCACTCCTAGCGGACGAGGGGAGTGCGGGGCCGCCCCCGCGAGCGCAGCAGAGTGAGACACATGCTCTTGTAGCAGTCTGTCAGTGAGCGCAGTCTCGGCGTGGGCGTGGCCCGGGCGAGCGGCACACTCAACTCAAAGATGTCAGCCATATGAAGTCATTGGTGACAGCCGATCTGCTTAGAAGGATTGAGCCACTCGACGAAAGCGAGAGGCGCTGATCCTCACGTGCAAAACACGCTGGCCGATCAAAGAGCTGCGTGGAGTGTGACTCATGCGGGAGCCGTGCCGGCGTAAAAAAACACTCAGGCCCGATCGTTCAACCCGCGCATTCGCTGTTTCTTTCTCCGATGTGACTGGGACGGGAGAAACGCGAGAGCAGGGACAAACTCACGCTTCAAAAGTGAAAGCAGCCTCCGCGACACACACACAAATGCAAAGCTGCGCCTTTCGATGAAACGAGGGGCGCTGATCCTCGCGTGTAACACACACACACACTGGCGGATCAAGTGAGGCATGCGGGATGTGTGTCAGCATAAGATCACTCAAGCCTGATCGCTCAAACCAAATTCGCCATTTCTTCCTCCGAGGTAACCGGGAGGGGGAGAAACATGAGAGCGGGAGGGGACCAGCGAGCGAAGCAGGAACAGACTGGGGATTTCGAATTAAAGCAGCCTGTCTGAGCGCAGCTTTAGCGCCGCACACACAATGCGAAGCTGTCAGCAATAGAGAGGTGACAGTGTTCTGATCCACTCAGGAGGTTAGAGCCGCTCGATGTAACGAGGGGCGCTGATTCTCACGTGTAAAACACACCGGCGGATCAAAGTGCAGCGTGGAGAGCGGGCACGCGGCCTGTTGCTCAGACCCGTGGCTCTGCTGTTTCTATCTCCGAGCTTTGCTGAGAGAGGAGAAACGAGAGAGCGGGTCTGCCTTCGTTAGGAAGGCGGGGCGCGTGTGGAGAGGGGTGAGACTCATGCTCTCAGCGAGAGCATTCTGTCTCAGTGAGGTGCAGTCTCTCCGTGGGGGCTGCCCAGACAGGCGACGCACTCACTACTCCTCTGCATCATGCAGGGCATGAGCCACACTCGCAGCGCGAAAGAGAAAAATTTGCTCTTTTAAGAACTTACCTCTTAGAAATAAGTTTTTTTAGGCTCGCCGGATGGCGGCAGGGGAATTAGCTGGGATCTCTGCTGCTACGATGCTGAAGGCGGCGGGAAGAGCGGCGAATCAGCCGAGTAGAAAGGTCGAAAGATTATATAAAGATTTTTATAGCTGATGAAGTTAAATTCCTATGAAATACATTGAATACTATCTGTTTTCCCCCCTTTAAAAGTCTAAATATTTACATACATACACTATAAATGCATATATTTAGAAATAAATTTCTCATACATCATTCATAATGTCTTAAAAACCGGTTACGCAGATAACAAATCTAAGTACCTTCAGGACACTGACAATAAAGATGGACAATGACATAGAAGATAGAAATTCTCGTAGCTCTCATCAGAAAAATGGTTGCTACACACAAACAATTTGTGTCAGTAGTTAATGGCTAACCAACCGGCAAGAGTCTAGCCCTGACAGCATCATGTGAAAAGCCATCCAAAACCCTCAAACTTACACCATGGACACAAACACTTGTGACCCATGATGAATGCCTCGCTAAATAATTAAGAGAAATGTCTTCTCATTGGATAAGAACATGCAGACTCATTAATAATTATGACACTGTGTTATCACTGTACTATAGTGTTTCACCCAAGCGGCAGCCTTCAGGTCTCTCTCGTGAAACCAACACGGAAGTGACTAAAACTGCAATTCATCGACTGGCCGCTAGAGGTTGGCTCCAAAAGGGAGGCTGGCTGCAAAAGGGAGTCGAATCCCATAGACTCCCCATTTTAAAATGCCCAACTTTACAGCAGAAAAAATTATGTTTACAGCCTGGTACAGAAAGTGCTTTTGGTCTATATAGCTAATTTTGCCCTTCATGACAACTGTGAGGGGGTGAATTTTTTATAACTCATCCGTTTAAATTATATTAAGCCTTAAAGTTCTGCATAATTAAGGGCGTGGCCACTTGAGTGACAGGTGGATTGCCGTTGCTGTCACCGCCATCGAGCTAGGTGGGTGTGGTTTCAGCAACCTGCCCCGGCCTCTTTGCCCATTTTCGATTATCCGGGAGAGACGCGCTGCCAAGATGGCGACGGCCGACTCCGCCTACTTTAGGCTTCAAAAACGCTCTTCGGAAACCTACGGGCAGTGTTGGGAAGGTTACTTTGGAAATGTAATAGGTTACAGATTACAAGTTACCCTTTCCCTTACAAAAATTAACCATGCTTTTATTATAGGAAAAGTACAGTAACCATGTTTTTTTTTTTTTGGCAAATGGATTACCATTTGTATTTATTTTTACTACAAATTCCATGGTTAAACTATGGTTTGTGTTGCAAAACCCATGGTTAATTTGTGTTTACCATGGTTTAACAATATGTTACATGTAACTAGTTACTCCCCAACACTGCCTACGGGTGACGTCACGGACACTACGTCCATGTTTTTATACAGTCTATGGTTTCGCCATGTCATAATTTGTGACACTGACACGATATAGAATTTAAACCTGAAAAAAAATCCAGTTTTCTACTAAAATGATTAATCATGACTGTGCTGAGAATGAATTTGTTTAAAGTAAATACTGTTAAATGTTGATCATGATTTAAAGTGTTTTTCAGTGACTATCAGTACTGCAGTATCACCTTAATGAGGAGCAGCTCATGTGGTCAGTCATTTACAGATCACATGAACTCACAGCAGCAGCAGACAGTAAACGCTTCAAATTGAAAAATATTAATTCTCTTAAATCATGACCATAACATGATATTAAATTGACGAATGTCAAGTTTTGCTTGTAATGAATGAAATAATAGTTTTCCCTGAATTTTATTTTTGATGTTACATGAATTATTAAAATGGCAAAATTCACAGTTTCAGATGAGGTTCACGTATGATCTTACCACAGTCCCTCCAGTTTACAATGAGGATTTTCCAGTACAGCAAATAGCAGCTTCACTCCTACGTCTCCTAGTTTATTTCCATTTAGATCCAGTTCTCTCAGGTGTGAGGGGTTTGATCTCAGAGCTGAAGCCAGAGCAGCACAACCTTCATCTGTGATGCCACACTTACTCAACCTGTAGAGAACAATGACACACTCTTTAGTCTCTGTTTGTCTTAAAGATTACTAATAAAGCATCTCTGTATGATATAATGTTGCTTATATTCATCTGATCATGTTCACACTAACAGTGTTATAGATGGAGACAGACACTGAGAAAAGATTAATTTGATATATAAATGTGAAATAAAAGCCCAGTATCTAAGTTTCTCAGCTAGAAGTCACTTATTCAAAACAACACAGGCATAGCTTGATGACGACATGAATGAGTGTGGAAACATGGGAGTTGTCGACAGCTTTCCAACAGCTGATGGAAAGCAATAAAACAGGAGTTTTATTAATGTGTTATTATTAACTGTGGAATTAAGCAAGTCGGACCAAAAGCCGTGGGAGTGGAAAGTGAGAGACAGATTCCTGCACGACACACCGGCCACAAGTCCCATGAAGGAGCTCCGGAGCTTTTATTATGCTTGTATGCCACAGTCAGCCGCTGCCACTACTTTTGTTTTGTTGTTTAGGTTTATTTTATGATTAAAGTTATGTTTATCATCCATCTCATTCTTCCCTGAACTTGAACTTTGCTACAGTTACGTTTGATCACTTAAAATCACATTATTTTATTTCATTTTAATGAAATAGCTGCAAATGCTTAATTACTACTCATACTGGTCACTTTATTTGACTTATTATAATTGTGAGGTAAAGCAAGTTGAAACACCAAGACATCCAGCTGGCAAACGGCCAAGTTGGCGCCGGCACTTTCAGCAGCACTCAACAATAGCCAGGCCAGGCTGGACAGATGTAGTAAGTGAGTGATAATAGGGCAACAAGTGTATTGGTGCACAAACAATAAAACAAAAACAGACATTTACAGCGTCCCGCACAAGAGTGGGATAAAGCATGTAAATAAATGCAATTATATAATAACATAGGGCAAACAGTCTACAGCTGGAGCCCCCAATTATTAATCTGATGAATGAAAAGCATAGCTGGTTGCTTGAAAGTGTTATTCTTGCAAGAGCATCATTGCATTCGCTAGACAGACAGGGTAGCCAGCCATAAGCTGGAGCCTCTGGACATCTCAGAACACAGCCAGTCGTGTGATGAATAACTGTTCTGCATATAGAGGAAAATATCCGCGCATAAACCCTAAAGCAGCTACCAGTACAGGCGTTACCACAAGGCCTTCTCCTTCTGCACAGACAGAATGTGCGGTGTCAAGAGGGGATTTCCAAGATATATAAAATCTAGCAAATGTATCTTGCGAAGGCCAAACTACAGCCAAGCAAATGTCTCAAATAGACATGCCATTAGTCGTACCTGAAAATGACTGGCTCTGTCCACAAAAGCATGCAGTGCCCGAATAAGGCACAGCGAGTGCTTTCAGATCTACGCCAGAGATCATGTTGGAAGAATTGGACACTTGAAGCGCTATGCAATCTGAGCTCCGAACGGCATTGAGAGCATTTAAGAACTATAACCGCTTTTAGGCACATGTTTATATATACTGTATGTACATATCTATTATGACTTAACACGCCACGCAGTGGGCGGTCAGGAGACAAAGACAATGTTGTTCCCATCGCCCACAAAGAGCTGGGGGACAAAGAAACTGACATAAGAGGCGAACAGTTCTGCTATCATCACCAGGAGTGTGTGAGAGCAAGCTACGGCCGGCAGGGGCAGTGATGGTTACATCACAGCAGAGCTCAGCTGAGCTACCGGACCTAGTTGAACACTATGAGTGAAAGGCAGCAAAGCAGTGGCAGCACTGGCTTTATTGCTTTCATAACAGTAACGCAGAGAAAAACGACAAGAGCCGATGGGACTTAATATAATGCTGAGTCACAAAAGTGAGGCGGCCATATCGGGATCACCAACTACTTCAAAATTCACATAGCGTCTTCAAGGCCGGAAACTCCCAGTCGGACACAGCGAAAAGTACATCACAGGCTGGGAGTGCCCTCATGAAAGACTGGTGTGTTTGAAATAAAGCCCATCTCTACTTTTTAAGAAATGGATTCTTTGTGGTTGATAAGCAGGAGTCTGTGATAGTTAACACACCTGCGTAAACCAGACCAGCCAGTATGCAGACTATTCAGCACACCAACTCCACTCATTTTGGAGGGGAGAGAGACGCGATCACACATTATATGAATGTACACAGCAAATGCTTGCCCGTTCGTAGGGGCTGTAAGGTAGCAAGATGAGTATATGAAGCAACCACAGAAGCACATGTGGGCTATCTGAATACAGAAGTAGGCATTGATGCATTCGAAATGCCAGGGCGTTTTATAGCTTCAAATGCAGTTGAAACAGGGCAACCCGTGCTTTTGTATGTGCTACCTGCCACTTACTGTCACAGAAGCACCATCTGCATTCTCTTTCCAGCTCGAATCACAGCACAGCAGGTTGGTCATATAAAAAGACAGGTAGATGTCTGACAATGTCACGATCTGCGGCGTCTTTTAATGATTTTTTGATCTTTTGTTGATTTTGATTGCTTCCATTGTCCTCATTTGTAACTCGCTTTGGATAAAAGCCTCTGCTAAATGACTAAATGAAAATTAAATTAAATTTTTTCATGTGAGAAAGCGTAGAGACTTAGCAGCAATCATGTTACTGAAATGACTAGACTACCAAACTAGATAAGCCATAGCAATGGTTGTTGCTGATTAGGGCTGCAACAAACGATTATTTTGATAATCGGTTAATCTAACACATTTGATAATCGCTGGTTAATCAGTAGACATTTATTGATTATTCAGCTTTTGCAATTAGTTAAAATATTGAGTTATACATATTCTAACAAATAAATTAAGGTAATCACTTCAGCTTTTGAAAGTCATATTGTGTAATTACAGTTATACAATTAATTTATACAAATAAATATATTTGGCACACAAAATGAGATGGAAGAGAAACTCTTACTCTTATATATTAAACTCCATTTAATTAGCTATATGAAAAAGTAGCTGAATGACACATCATTCTCCCTAAAATCTCTTTTTGTAAGTCATATGGATAAGAAACCAAATAAAGGTTAAGTGATAAGACATTTTATTTTTGGATAAACTATTCACAACATAATCTCTCTTAAAATACCATATAGGGTTATGATAATCAAAACAGTCCTGAGCTAGATCAAGCTTTGATCTGTGCAAACCAAACTATCAATTTAATTAAACGTTTTCCCCCCCACTAATAAAAAGATTTTATCATTAGCTAGCTCCACACTGGAGAGCTGCTTTATAACAGAGAACCAAGTTGTAATTCTAACTGAAAGAGACACTGACTCTGGATTTTTGTAAAGCTGCTTGATTTAAGGCTATCTATTGCATAAAATACTATATAAATAAACGTGACGTGACTTTACTGGAGTACTAAACTGCAGAGCTCATGCAAACATCCATATCGCTGTAATCGGGGGGCTGTTTCATAAAACTAGTTTACCTTTTTTTTCTGACTTATTGTCACTTGATTTGGCTTCTGAAAGCCAGTCACTCTGGCAACTTATGCTGGGAAAGTAACCTGGTCGGGAGCAGGCTAACTGTCAGGCTAAGCTGAGCTCCTCTAACACTGACCAATAGGAACGCATTGATATCACCACTGACTCGCTCACATACAACTGTACCTTTTATGGTTATTAGTAGAACATTAAAACATTACAATCTAAAATTGCTCTTTAAAGAATTAAAGCATTTAAAATACTAAATTAAAAGTTAAAAAGACTGAATTAAAAATGAAAATAATAGAAATCAGACTACATTTTAACTGATAAGAGGAACACACATTTAACTCATTTGAGATAGTAGGGCTGTATTAGCTAGCTTACATTTGATTTACAGTTACTGCTATGATAAAAATACACTTATATGCAGGATTAAAATTCTGCATGTGTCACATTTAATGTCCAACAACAAATATTTTAGCAGAATGCATATTTTATTCAGAATTATTGCGCTATTATT